ATATTTCTTGTTCTGATTGTTTACTCAATAAAAGCCACCAGTTACCTTTTCATACAAACACCATAAACTCTTCCTACCCTCTTGAATACCTATACTCAGACGTCTGGTCCTCACCCATTATTTCAGTTGACAACTATAAGTATTACTTGGTTGTTGTTGATCATCATACGAGATATACTTGGCTTTTCCCACTAAAACAAAAATCTCAGGTCAAGGATATCTTCATCTCTTTCACTGCTCTCGTTGAAAACAAACTGCAGCGCCGAATTGGAACCCTCTACTCTGATAACGGTGGTGAATTTATCGCTCTCCGCCCGTTTCTTGCGGCTCACGGTATCACCCATTACACAAACCCGCCACACACTCCTCAACTTAACGGCATCTCAGAACGCAAGCACCGACATCTCGTGGAAACTGGTCTCACCCTCCTCACCAAATCTTCCATGCCAAAAGAGTACTGGACTTATGCTCTAGCAGCTGCAACTTATCTCATCAATCGGATGATCACACCAGTCCTCAACGGTGACTCACCCTACCATAAACTGATCCATCAACAACCAAACTATTCCAAACTCCGTGTCTACGGTTGCCGCTGCTACCCCTGGCTTCGTCCCTACACCAAAAACAAACTCCAATCTCCCTCCTTACCCTGTGTATTCATCGGCTACTCCTTGAGTCAAAGCGCCTACCTCTGTCTCCATACTGAGACTGGACGCGTCTACGTATCACGGCATGTGCAGTTTGTCTAGTCTGAGTTCCCATTTGCGCAACAATCCACACATCAACCTCTCCCTGAACCAACACCACCACCTTCCTATCCTCTCGCTACACCCATTCCGACTGCAACTCGTATAGCTCCTTCAAAGTCGCCTACGTGCTCAGGTTCATCGCCTCCAGTAACATGTAATAATTCTCCTACACACTCTGTTAGATCATCTTCAGCCTCTTCTGCAGCAGGTTCCTCACCGGCTTCTCCCCCCACGGTTCCTACAACCAACAACCCGACACCATCCCAAGAAACTCAGACTACACACCCGACTTCTTCTTCACCAAGTCCTGCACCTCCAACCACTACTATACCTGCTCCCCAAAACATTCACCCAATGAGAACCCGAGCCAAAAACCAGATCACGAAACCCACCCAAAGATATGCCCTTCATACCACTCCAAACAATGAAAAACCAAAAATTCCAACCTCGGTTGCAGAAGCTCTACGAGATCCACGGTGGAGGAAAGCAATGTGTGATGAGATCAATGCCATTATCCGAAACGGAACTTATGTTCTCGTGCCACCAGATCCAAGTCAAAATGTTGTCGGAGGGAAATGGGTGTTTACAGTTAAGTATTTGCCAAACGGAGCGATTGACAAGTACAAAGCACGCTTTGTTGCTAAGGGATTCCACCAAGTCCAAGGACATGACTTCACTGAGACATTTAGCCCAGTCATTAAGGCAACTACGATCCGCTTAGTTCTCAGCATTGCGGTAACTAAATCGTGGCCTATACGCCAGCTTGATGTCTGCAACGCGTTCTTGCAAGGTACACTGCACGATGAAGTTTATGTTGCTCAACCACAAGGCTTCATTGATCACGATAGGCCACATTACATCTGTCACCTAAAGAAAGCTCTTTACGGTCTACGCCAGGCACCGAGAGCGTGGTACCAAGAACTCAGGAAACATCTACTTAATCTTGGATTTGTTAACAGCACTGCCGACACCTCTCTTTTCACGCGAAGAACTGGCACGGATTTCACCTACGTTCTTGTTTATGTCGATGATATGCTCATCACCGGAAGCTCCAATGCACTTATCCAGCACTGCATCTCCGACCTTGCTGCGCGCTTCTCTATCAAAGACATGGGCGAAATACGGTATTTTCTGGGTATTGAAGCAACAAAGACGCGATCAGGCCTCCACCTGATGCAAAAACGATACATCACCGAACTCCTGGAAAAGCAGAACATGATCCACGCTAAACCAGTCTTGACGCCAATGTCTCCAACACCAAAAACTGTCGCTGAACTCAGGCTCTCGTCTACCTAATCCACAAGACTACCGGCACGTGGTTGGCAGCCTACAATACTTATCTTTAACAAGACCAGATGTTGCCTACGCTGTTAACCGACTCTCACAGTTTATGCATCAACCGACAGACCTACACTGGCAAGCTGTCAAGCGGGTACTCCGTTACCTTGCAGGAACCACTTCTCACGGCATCTTACTCCGTCGTGACACTCCACTCACTCTACATGCTTACTCTGACGCCGACTGGGCTGGTGATACTGATGACTTCGTCTCCACCAACGCGTACATTGTCTACCTTGGAACAAACCCACTCTCCTGGACGTCAAAGAAACAAAAAGGTGTCGCAAGCTCATCAACAGAAGCAGAGAACCGTTCTGTTGCCAACACTGCATCCGAGCTATGCTGGCTGTGTTCTCTCTTCTCTGATCTTGGCGTATCTCTTCCTACGGCTCCAGTGGTTTATTGTGACAATGTCGGTGCCACTTATCTCTCTGCCAACCCGGTTTTCCATTCTAGAATGAAGCATATTGCTCTTGACTACCACTTCATACGAGACAATGTCCAATCCGGTGTTCTCCGCATCAGTCATATCTCCACACGAGACCAACTTGCAGATGCTCTCACTAAACCGCTACCACGGCGAAGATTTGCAGAGTTATCGTCCAAGATTGGAGTCATACAACTGCCTCCATCTTGAGGGGGCGTGTAAGAGTGATATAGTATGAGGAGTATTATGTAAATACATTAGACCTAATCACCTCATGTAATCACTATATATATTGTAAATCTCACTAATCAATAATATAAGTCATTATCATTACATGGTATCAGAGCTAATTCGAAACTAAACCTAAATTTTTCCCAGCCGCCCAAAACCCTTTTCAAACTTTCACGACAAAGATGTCGTCTTCCCCAGCCACCTCCTCTGAAACAATCACAATTTCAGACAACACCACCATCCTCAACATCAACATGACCAATGTGACAAAGCTCACCTCTTCCAACTTCCGATGTGGGACACTTTGTGTCTAATACGCCCCCTCGAGATGATGGCTCTCTGGCATCAATCTCGGAATGTTCGGGCAAGGATCGATGGGCCGACTTTGGGCTGGATCGATAAGGATCGGGTTGGACTGCGTGGATCGTGGGCTCTGATACCATATTAAGTTAGATGGGCTTCCAACCTAAAACCAATTGGTGATAAGTGGATTGACTCATCTATCTTATATACTAGATAATTTTCATATATAATGTGTTGATGTAAAAGTCTTTTTAAAAAAACTGATCAAATTATCGAGATTTAATAGTTTACATTACAAAACTACATAGTTAATTAAGTATAAGGTTTCACTCATGTTTTTGTCGCAGAAACCATTTTAGGTCATTGCCATTCTAATATATTGTAGGGCATATATTGATATGGCTTCAATCAAACTATGTCCTGTTGAACGCAACAAGACGGACCCGTCATATTCATTGGCGTTGGCATAAGTGAAGTCTACGGTATGTGAATTGATCACAACTTCTCGAGTTCCTTTGGTTTGCCAAAAGGAAAAGAAAAACACAAAAGTAGAAAGCTTGAGGAAATTTTCGTTTGTTTTAGCTTCTTGTTTATGTTTTTTAACTCGAAATAGCAAAGTTATAAGGGAATAGTAACATCAGGGACAGATGAGAAATCTCTATCACAAACTCTACATTTGTGTTAAATGATGGACCACTTCACTCTCTTTGTCTAACGTTTTGTATTATCCACTGTCTTCACTTACCCACACGCACCAAAATTTGCAGAGCTTATTACACATCTTGAGTATTATTCTACTTTTCTTGTTACCATCTTGGGTTTCCATTTTTTTTACCAGGACATGAAGATGAGTTCATTGCACATAGGCCTGGGCGTTCGGATACCCCTTTGGATCATATGAGTACGACCCATTCAGGTATCCATTTTTTGGGGTTTTGAAAAATGGTCCCATTCGGATATTACAAAAAAAATGGGTCGGGTTCGAGTCGGGTCCTCCCGGTTCCGGGTGGGTTCGAGTTTTAACCAAAGTAATCAAAGTATTCGATTCTATTCGGGTATTTTATATATAAACTACTCAAACTTATCTAAAATAACTAAAAATCCAAAAAAAACTCAATATGTATGGTTCAAATTTGTTATTGTTTGTTCGAAAGTAACCATAGATACAATGTTATTTGGGTCTTTTGTATCCAAAATATTAATTTCTATCTATAAATATCTAAAATAATTAATATATATGATATATAATTTTATGTTACGTATAACTATTAGTAAAGGTATAATTATAAATATTATTTTTCATATATATTTATATTTTTGGATTTTTTGGATACTCATTCTGTTCTCGGTACAAGTCAGCTTCGGTTTAGGTTTTTCAAGTTTTGAAAAAGGAACCCATTCGGATATTTAGGCTATATCCAACCAGATTCGGTATCCTAATTTTTGGATCGGTTTCGGGTCAGTACTTTGGATACAGATATTATGTGCAGCCCTAATTGCATATAACAAGTTTGTATTCATCGAGATTCTTTGATCCTATTGTTGAAAGTATATGTTTGAGTTGCTGAGTGATATTAGTTGAATAATATGACTGACCATTTTTCTGAATTTTACCCGAAACAATAATGTTTGAAGCTGAGACTTCAGGGCCAATAATTGTGGACACGTGAAGCCATAATTTCTTCTCTCATTTACGCACGTTTGGAGAAACATATAACTGTTTTCTTATTATATATGATCCATGAAGTTAAGAACATTATCAACTCTTTTAGTTTACAGAAGAAAAAACATTATAAACTCTTAGCCAAATAGTTTACACAGCGTGCCTTTTCTCATTCACAAACCTAAACACCATGTCATTTTTAAGTTACATAACAATCTTAAATCTTACTTAGAGAACTGGTTAAAAGATATTTAACATGGAAATTTTAGTTTGTTTTTCTTGAGTAACGTTAAAGATGAAGATCCAGACTCACATTATCCTTCACACTGAGTCCCAAACCGTGCCGGTATGAGGACATGCGGTCCTGAGCTGCGAAGCCACCCACATGTAACGGTGGATGCGGCTGAGAACTGGTCAATAACGGTGAAGTCGAGTTATTATAAGAATCATGATGACTAGTAAACACTGCGTTTGCGTTATAACTGCCTCTAACACTGGAAGACAAAGGCGGTACAAGCCATAGTCCAAATGGACTCCCATTGATCGGTCGTGTGTCATAAGAGGATGACGTGCCTAAAGTGTGTCCAGCTCCATAGAACCTAGCGGCCGGTAATGAGCCGCTGCTCCAGGATGGGTAGTGATGGTAACCGTAGAGGTTAGCGTCGGGATGATGAAAGTAAGAGGAAGTACCACGTTTGGCGAGCTGACGTTCTCGTTTGTGAGCGTTTTGGTGTCCACCTAGGGCTTGTGAAGTAGGGAAGATTCTAAAACAATAGTGACACTCGAATCTCCTGTTGTTGATGCTCATGCTATTGTCCTTACCGTTATCTTCAGTTTGGTCTTCTTCTTCTTTTTCTTTATCTTCTTTATTGTAGGTCTTGGAGGAATCTGTGTGGTCTTCACCGAAGTAATCTCCGCCGGTGAAATATTTTCCGAATAGACGAATGGGTTTAGAGCTCTTATCTTTGGAGAGAGGACGACGGAAGAATGGAAGTTGAGAGAAAGTTTCAACGTTCGTGAAATCTTGTCTTTCTCCATCTAGTTCGTCCATAGAGATCGAGCGCTAGAAGAGAGAGGGATGATGCGTGAATATTGAGTTGTGAGGCTGACTGTCCCAGAGAGATAGATCAACGTTTATATATGTACATGAAATTGATATGGTGTTAACACACACATATTCTTATATTAAAAGGATTTGATATAAGCATAGTTTGGTACAAGTTGGATATAAGAAGGGATTCGATCATGTAATTTACATAATAGTAGTTACTAACTAGTTTTTTCACCAAAAATACTAGTTCTAGTTTTTCTCAAATTTCCTTTTTGAAAACATATAAATGTAGACAAGAAATAATTCGATTTTCCATTAATTTTCCCCAACAACACACAACTTGTCTTCAAAATCTTGGATCCCTCTGGTTCCTATGTTATCTACTTTTGTTTCTTATTAATTTTTCACTTGTGGCTCTCTCCAAATGTTGGGACATTATAAGACTGAATAATAAATTCATTCACTTAGATGTTTTCAATAGTTCAACATTAAAGAAAATTTACTGATTTTTAACCAAATACCTAGCTAAGCATTATTAGTTGTGTACCAGTTTCATTCCAATATGGATTCAACGTTTTGATCAATTGTTTCTTTAGATAATTTAGTGATAGTTATGCTTAATTTACTTTTTACAACAACCTTTGAGAAACTAACAATATGGTCGTTTTGTGGTAGGCGGAATTTAAGAAACAAGACAATCCAAATTTGAAGACACCTCAATACACGATATAAGGTTATGTTTTAGGTCTCATTTAAATACCCAGAAAAGAAAATATATCTATGAGATGCACATTCCAGAAGATTAGTCTGGATTCTAAGATAATCTCCATGTTAATCCAAAAAAACACCTTTGATCAAGAAATATGGGAGAAACAATATCATATATCACGATCAAGAATTAATAAATTAAAGATAACATTTATGCAGCTCAAAAGATCATGGTAGGGTTGTCTAAAGGTGGGAAGGAAGTAATGATCAAGTCGATCCTATTAGCCCTCCCAACCTATGTTATGTCTTGTTTTACTTCCATTGGAGATATGTGATGACTTGGCTAGTGCCATTGCACAGTTTTGGTGGAGTTCGAACCCACCAAAGAGAGGATTACACTGGACAAAATGGGACAAGTTGTGTCTTCCTAAGGAGGAGGGTGGTATTGGATTCAGGATGATACATGAGTTCAACCTGACTTTATTAGCAAAGCAGTTGTGGAGATTGGCCCAAAATCCAGATTCTTTGGTTGCTCGAGTTATGCGAGGGAGATATTATCGATTAAGTTCGCCGTTGCGAAAGCTTAATGTCAGCAGCCCATCATATGTGTGGACAAGCATCTCAGCTGCAAGAGAGCTATTGCTATTGGGGGTTAGAAAGAAAATTCATTCAGGGTATGAAGTAAAGGTATGGGAGGATCCATGGATTCCCACAATCCCGGCAAGACCAGCACATGCATCTGCTCCGGTTTTGCATTCGAATATGAGAGTGAGTGATCTAATCAACCAGGAAACAAAGAATTGGGATCAGGAACGGCTGGAGAACTATATTGATGCTGCTGATATACCTCTCATAAGGAGTATGGACGTTAGTTCAACCCACCGTAGAGACACACACTGCTGGAGTTATACAAGGAGTGGACAGTACACAGTTAAGTCCGGCTATTGGGTAGCTCGGAACATACTAATGAAGAAGGATGAGGTTTTGGTGGATGAACCTAGTATTAAAAGGCTTCAAGCACAAGTTTGGAAGATCAAAGCACCCCCGAAGATGCGCCATCTTATGTGGCAGATTATATCGGGGCAGGTGGCTGTTACGAGTGTGCTATCCCATAGACACATGAGATGCGATAATTTCTGTCCACGATGCGGAGAACCGGAAGAAACAATTGCACATGCAATCTTTCAGTGCCCACCGGCTTTACAGGTTTGGGCCTTAGCATCTATACCTACCAGCCCAACCCTTTTTCCTTTGAAAAGCATTTATGCGAATATGGACTATCTATTCTGGCGGAAGAAGGCCATTTGTGGGCCGGAGTTAGACAAGGATCCTTATCCTTGGTTAATATGGTACATTTGGAAAGCTCGGAATGATAAATTGTTCAGAGGAATAGATAGGGACCCTCTAGAGCTGGCCCGGTATGCAGAGAGTGAATGTCTTGCCTGGTTTCAAGCTAATGAGCAGGATGTCGTGATTACCCAAGATAATAGCGATACTGATCGTCAGACCATAAGTCTACGAAATATTTGCATGATAGACGGTTCATGGACCTCTATAGATCATTTCTCTGGCTGTGGATGGGTTTGGATGGATTGCATGGGAAATAGCCGATTGATGGGGATGCGGAATGTGAGTAGAGTGGAGTCGGCTTTGCATTCGGAGCTGGAACATGCTTCAACATTCGCCATGTCAGAGCTTTGGGACGGACTGCAAGGAATTGTTAGCAATGCTCACGGATCCTAATGGATGACCTAGCTTCTCGACGGAACTTGAGAGGATCTCGACGCTGAGGATTTGTTTCCCAGACTTCAAGATATCTTATGTACCTTGATCCTTAAATGTTATGTCTGATCATCTAGCTTAGACTGCCAGGTCCTTTTATTGTGATCTTACGTTTGTTGGTTGTTCTATTCCGGTCTGGATTCCCAGACCACCTCAAGCTTGAGTAATAGATCAGCCTTTCGTTGTCAAAAAAAAAAAAAAAAAGAAAAAAAGATCATGGTAGATTTATCATATTAGGTTAATAGGCTAATAATTACCAACGTACGTTAGGTGAATACTCTTTGATCACATATAATGCTAACTAGATTTTGACTAGTGCGTCCACACAGATGTAGTTTTTCAAAATATATTACTACTTTTTATATCATTATTATATAAATAGATATGTATCATATATAATTAAATTGTATTTTATACGTATTATCATATAACTAATAATATAATTAATAGTATTTTATATGTACCATCATATAAATTAGTGTTGAATTTACGGATCGATCCACCTCGCTGCGTGTTAAATCATTTTTTGATTCAAAACTTTGATCCACTTGACCCGCAAGTAGAAAAATTATATTTGCACCCACGCCGTTTAAATTTGTGGGTAATTCACATGATCTGTGAGTAACACTAAAAATAATTATTTTTTAGTTTTCCAAAACTAAAATAATATATATTTATATTCATATTTATATTCGTAATTTTAATTATTTAAGAATAAAATCATTTAAAAGCAATCTTAAAAAAAAAACATTTTGGGGACTGACAGGTATCCGCAGTTTAAATTCGATCGATCTGCACCCGCTCCGCATAAAATATACTAAATCCGCACCCGCACCCATCCCATATATTTTTCATGTACTGTATTTTTCTTATATATAGTGAAAATTTTTTTTTATAATCATTATTGGAAAATATTTTAGTAAAAATTAATTTCTGAATATATATATATATATATATATATATTTTTTTTTTTAGAATCAATTTTTGATATAAGTTTTTAAATTATTCTTTTGATTTGAAATATCTATATGAAGTTTAAATTTTGTATTATGATTTTATTAAATAAAATATGTTTTCAGGTAATTAGATTGACTTATTTTAATATATTGTAAAGCTGACCCAAATAAAAACTTTGTCAGCTTCTCTATTCTCTTAATCAAGGTGTTGCTTTTAGTCATGAATCTTATTCTGATCTTAATAAAGTTTGAGACATTTGATTCCAAAAACGCATGATCTTTATTTAGATATGGAAGTACAACTCTTATCACCAAGCATTATATACAAATTACCAGAAGAATTACATCTTTTTATGAAAAATAGCAAAGAGAGTACCAACCCAACATTAACATCATGAACAAGCAGAAGCATCAAAACTAGGCAACACAATGAACGACATGGACAATGACGAGACACAAACCGGAGAGTTCACTCCACGGATAACCGGTTCAAGGTTCGGGATATCTCCGGTTTCTGTTGGTTTCAACGGTTTACCATTCAAGATCATTGTCTTGCTCCGTAACTCACCGTTTTCTGGTGTTAGATGATCTTTTTAAGATCGCTAGAGTTTCGTGCTGGTAACGTGTTGTAAATAGAGAAGAGAGAAGAAGAAATTGATATGTCTTATTCATGAGTAAAGAGATATTTTATATAGGATTACAATATTTTGGAGAGAAAGCCTAATTTGGAGAACAAGTAGTTTTTGGGGAATAAGTAAATATTGGACTTTCCATATTGGACATCACATAATATTCATAACAATCATATATTAGTTTTGGTTTTTAGGTTATTCATATGTAAATTTGGCGATGGTTTAATCAAAGTCCGACAAATTATTTCGTTTTGATTATAGATGATATAAGCTAATTAGGTCCAGTTATAGATTAGTGAAAACAAAGGCGATTAAATTGTCGACCAAAAAAACGTAATGGGGCTTTCATAGTGATGTTTGCGTGGAATGATGTGGATTAATTAGCCAACTTTTTTAATAAAGTCAGTGGCAGAGAACTGTAAATAATGAGAAAAAATCAGGGTTATTTCCCATTTATATTTCATTTTTAATAGATTTTGTTTTTAGGTTATTCATATGTGAATTTGGCGATGATTTCATCAAAGTCAGAAAAACTATTTCGTTTCAAAGAATTTTGTTTTGATTATAGATGATATAACTACAAGAAAACTCGTCCATTACTAGGACGGGTTTTCCTCGTTAGTTCCTAGTAAATGGCCTTTTACTAGGAACTTACGAGGAAACGCGTTTCCTCGAAACACGTTCATCGTAAAGCCATTTTCCTCGTAAGGTCGTAGCGAATTTACGAGGAAAGATTTCCTCGTAAAGGCGTGGTAAAACTTTCCTCGTAAGGTCCTCGTAAGCTTTCCTCGTAAGCTCGTAGTAAACATTTCCTCGTAAGGTCGTAGTGATATACGAGGACATTACTAGAACTGTTTACGAGGATATTACTTGGAATATTTTACGAGGATTTTGCTTGGAAATGTTTTTTTCCTATTAAAAA